CGACGACTACTACGACTACTGCCACTACTCCTACTCCTACTCCTACTCCTACTCCTACTCCTACTCCTACTACTACTACTACTACTACTACCACTACTACTACTGCTACTACTACCACCACCATCACTACCACTGCTGTTTGTTTATTCGGTTTGATGTGCCTCGTGATGGGCTGGCCAGTGGACGTTGAGCCGGGGGCCTTCTCGTGGTTTCATACAAGTTCAGAAGTATGCTGAAGGGCCTTGCAAACATGGTCACTTGAGGACTTCGCCTGGCTTGGGGGTTTATTTGAGATGGCGGTGCAGGATACCCTGAATCGCACTATTTAAGCCCTTTCCGGGTAGAGGGTAGGAGTTGTATTCGGGGGTGCGGTTTCGGTCGCACCAGAAGCCTTCGTCCGTCGCAGGAGGTGATCGACGCGTGGAAGGGCGTAGCGCCCATCGATCGCGCGTCAAGGCGCAGTGGCTACGGGAACCAGGATATGCTGGGCTTCAAGACTCTATTCAAGACTTCAGTTTGCGATCCCTGCATGGCTTGGATGATGCCATTCGAAAAAAGGCCTCCATGTATTGAGGCGTTTTTCCCAGAAGAAAGATATGGTTTCGGGTTTAGGGTTCAGGATAGTTCAGGCTTCACAGTTTTCGAGCCTTACTTGTGTTCCATAGGGATTGCAATGCACACGGGGAAAGATGTGTGTGTGTGTATATATATATATATGTATGTATGTATGTATGTATGTATGTATGTATGTATGTATGTATGTATGGGTGTCTCTGTGTGTGTTTGCGTATGTATATGTATACACATACAAATATGTGTTTAGATGTACAGTAACAACCGCCTCTTACTACTGTTTTCGTCACTACAAGAACACTCTGGGAGTTGATGTCCTGTGTTTGGGGCTCTCACACGTACCACAAGAGCCCGCTGATAAATCCTAAACAAACGCTGAGACCCTGAAAGTATTCCCCAGATCATTACCAAGCCCGACGCCCTTAACCGTTAACCGAAGCCCGCACTCCTAAATCCAAAGCCCTAAACCTTAACCCTTTAGACCCTTAAACCGAAACCCAACAGCTGACGCCCTGCCTGCGAGCTCCCAGCAGTGACGGGCAACTGCGGCCCCGAAATCCTTGCAAAAGACCGTAGGGTCTTGAACAATCTTAAGCAAAACTCCCGCTTCAGGCCCTACACATGTTTCTAAGAAAAAGCACCGAACCTTTTTTCCACCCAGCAATTTTTGCCCAAGCTGTGAGGCAGAGCGTCCCGACCTCTTCAAGCAGCTTGGCTGATGCTTTAGGGTTTTTGGTTGGGCTGGTAACGTGCCGTGTGTTGCCGACTGCAGCCAGCCAGCGGTGGGTACGTTTCTTTTGGCGAACTCGGCGGGGGAATGGTGCAAGTGGGGGAAGGCTCTTCCTTGCATCGAATGAGGGGGCATACAGGGATGGCAGAGGCTAGACTTGAAGACTGCAAGGCTCGCGCCGCTAGCCTTCTTGGCCCTGAGTTGTTCCTAGCATGGCGGCGGCAATGAGCGCTGGCGGCTTTTGGCTCTGGCTCTTCCTGCCGGTGGTCATAGCATCCGACAACTCTGGATATCCCGAGTGCCCGTGCATTACCAATGGCTCCGCCAAGTTCACTCAGTACGAGAATGCCCTGATCGCAGCTGGGATACGGCCCACCTACGGCATCACCGGCTGTGCAGCCCATGATTCCAACTACTCTCTCTTCGGGTGTGAGCAGAATCAGGCGTCCTTCTGCCAGAATCCGTGGTGTCTCGTAGACATGGACGTGTGCCCCTACAACAGAGAGCTCTGCGAGGCTGCGGGCGGCACGATTGGAAGCGACGTTTCTCCCCATTGCCGCACCCGTGGTCGGAACCCCAGCAGCCTGTTGAATATCTCCGATATGCACTACAGCTACCAGACCTGCGACTCAGTGAACGACTACGACACCGCAAACCTCGTGGAACCGGTTGTTGGGCGTATGATCCGTGCCGCGGCAGATGCGTGGGCACCATGGATCGTCAAGACAACCAACTCCATGAATGAGGAGGTTTGGGGTGGTCCGTCTTTCGATTTCTTGAAGGCGTCCTTGGACCGAGCGGTTTTTGACCCGAAGCCCGTCCTTCAAGTCGTCCCCGGATGGGCCACGCAGGAGTCGAGAGAGAAGTATCCAGAGAGCTCCTACACTGCATGTGTGCACGATGTCGCCATCGGAAGCTTCGACATCTGCATCGCAGATCTCTGGCTAACACCAGAGAGGAACCAGCTGACAACCTTCCTGCCGGCTGTTCGACAGGATTTCTTCTATCTCATGGTCAAAACAGGCGGTGGTGGAGCAGCAGACCTTACGCTCTGGCAGCGCTTGGCGAAGCCTTTTGAACCATTCACTCCTGGTGCCTGGGGTGCTGTTGTCGGATTTCTCTGCATCATGTCGGTGCTCCTGTGGCTCAGGCAAGTGTGTGAGACGGGCTGTCATGGCGATGCAAAGACAATTTGCAAAACGAACGTCGTGGCAATTCTACGCTCCCTCTTCTTCGTTTGGCACGACTTCCTCCTGGGCCAGAGCAGCATGGACGTGGATACTTGGACCAGTTCGTAAGTTGTTGTGAAGAAGTGTTGTGTACATATATATATATACACACACACACACACACACACACACACACATATATATATATATATACATACACGCCTACCCATCTACAAAACTCGAATACAAGAATGATTATTTGCAGTGTTTACGTAACCGCTTAATTTTTCAAGGAACCGAAATCAAGACCAGGAGAGTGGACCGGTTAGGCAGATATTTAGCCTTGCACTGGCTTTTTTCATCCTCATCACCCTTGCGAGCTACACAGCGAGTCTGGCATCCGTGCTGGTGATTCAGAACACCCCAAGTGCGTCCGTCAACTCCATCGAGGATGCCATCAATGATGGTCTAAAAATTTGTGCTCCCACGACGCTAATCCAAACATTCACGGGTGTTTATCCGCAGGCCACATTTGTGGCCGGTGATATCCAGACTTTGCCCAGGATGCTTCACAAATACAGCAGCGTTTAGGGCTTTTTCAGGTGCAGGAAACCCGTATATTCCCAAAGCCGTCGTTTATACACACGGGAGTAAAGACAATTAAGGATGCTTCATGCAGGGCAGTGCGATGTTATGGTCTCGTCGCAGGATGTCATCGACAGGATTTTTGCCGGGAAGGTGAGAGAGGCAGATTGTGCTGCATATCATGCCGGCACCATGACTCAAGAAGAAGCCCAGTGCTGGGATGGAGACGAGCAGCGTGACTGCAGTTTTCTGAAAGTCGGCGACCTCCTCTGGAGCGTACCTTTGTCTTTCCCGATCAATGAAGCGATGGCGCATAGCTTGTCGTGGGCCTTCACTTCTGCAATCACCGGGGGAGTCATGGAGGACGCGAAGCGTGCGAACAGTGAGCTCTTTGCTCAGTCCATCTGTGCAGCGGAGACGGACGATCAAGACATCGCAATGAGCTTCGACGACCTCAGCGGTGTGATGTTTATCTCCTTCTTCATTGTAGCCATTGGCTTCGTTGTCATGGCGGGACGGCATTTCCACCGTCAGCGCAGGAAGAGTGTTGGAGATGCTGATGGCAATCCCGAAGAAGGCATGGGGGCAGAGGTAACTCCGGGAGACGAGCCAAGCATCACAGAAGTTGAATTCCCACCATCAGCAGGAGTCACATTCACGGACTCGCAACCGGGCATGCAAAGCGATGTAATTTTCACCAAGACCGTATGACTGTAAAGTGTATCCTGTATTTCTTCTGACGCATGGTGCACTGAAACAGAAATTCGAAGTTCTAGCACGAAGTCCTTTGAGACCATGTGCTGTTTGAGTCCTCCACGCTGGGGGCTGTTCATCCCTGATCATCCTCGAAGAGGCTCGTTGGGGGTGCAGCTCCCCTCAACTCGAAGTTTGTTACTTCCCCAGCTCAGATACCTCCACCGAAAAGAATCCCGACACTTGAAACCCAGAAAAGTCCTAAACCCGAAGCTCTAGACCCTAGTCCATGCCTGTTTGCAGAGCGTGTCCCACAACCGTATAAGCCGCCGAAGCCTCCTGAATGATGGGGGCAACTTGCATGCTCCTGCACATCGGAATTTTTGGGAAGAACGGCGAAGCCGTCGGTGGACAGGGTGGACCTGTGACCTGTGAGACTGCATGCTGAAAACACCCACGAGCGTTTAGGGTATAGAGCATTGTGGGATGTAGGGCCGGGGTAGCTACCAAACTCAGTACAGGCAGAACAATCTGAAAGTGGAGAATAACCAGCCACCATCAGCCACCAGCAAAGTCATGATTATGGCTATCATGGAAAAAGGTCGACGTTCGGTTGAAGGCCACTTCAGGAAACGCCCAACCCAAACTCGAAAGAGGATGGGCACCGTACGGTCTAGGTGATGTAGGAACCTGATTCAGAAACCCTGGCCATATCACCCCAAAATATTAGGATCCAGAAAAAAGAACCAGTGTTTCTTCACTTAATCAGGTTCCTACATTCGGGATTCACGCTCTGGGCCTTGGTGCCTCCTTTGCACTGGGACTCAGGAACGGTCCCGTCAAGAAGCCCGTGGTTATTGGCAAGAACTGGGAGCGGCAGGCATCGTTCTGCTCGGTTTCGAGTTTCGGGCGTTGTTGTGGTTGCAACTTTTTGGGTTTAGAGGCTTGTGCGATTCAACGGGTGCGCGTTTATGTTTTCAGGGTTCAGGGTTGTGGGACCCGCCCTATACATGACCGTATATTTCTGCTTTCTTGTTCCTTGGCACAGCAGCATTGCCATGGATTCACAGGCAGTGGTTCCCACTAGGAAAATGCGCTTGGTGCCTTGGTTTACTGCGCCGATACCTTGCATTACCTTGCTCCATTGCGCAACGCTGCACCAACACCCTAACGAAAGATCCCACGAAAGCAGATGCAGGATTCAATCCCTGAGGCTCTAAGGACTCATATTTTAAGGCTTTTGGGCCCAAAGACCATACTATATGAGGGTTTTGGGCTATTTTGAGCCTTACTGTAGGGAATAGAAGCAAGTCCTAAATAATTCAACGCCTGAAATTTTTCTCTGTCGGCTCTTTGGTGCCACAGGTTTTGGAGCTGGTGTCTGCTGGGCTACGTCATCTTGTTTTTCTGTTTCGAACATTCGTTTCTTGGTGTTTTGGTTAGACCGTAAACCCTCAGATCCTAAATCCTAAACCACCAAGCCCATGATAAATAGAAATGGTATATTTTGACGTGTGTTGCTACGTGTGTTGCTGTACCGTGTTGCCGTCTTGCCGCTCTACCACAATGTTTGATCCCCATAGCGTAAACGTCGCCAAACACGAGCCTTCCGGAAACGAATGTGTTTCTGCGGCGCATAGCAACACAAAGCAGAATCAGTTCCGTTTCGCCGGCTGCCCAACGCATCGGACGGAGCCGCTGTTCGGCTCATTTGTCGGTGGGAGCAAAGCAAAAGGCAAAATCCGGTCAATACCTATACTATTTTGGGGGGTTCCTGATCATAACTATAGTATATTGGGCACCAAAACCCTATTCTGATTATTATAGCCCCTATATGATACGGTTTCTATGACGCCCAAAACGCCACCATCACTGGAAATTTGAACCCCGGACCCTACTTGCTCTACCTGTATTCCCAGCGACAGGAGAGATCAAACCCTGAAACCTCCAACCAAGGCATACCGAACCTTACTCGTTCAGCCCAAACGGTTTAGGGTTTAGGGTTTAATGTCCTCTAGGGCTGCTTGCTCCAACTCCGGGCGAAGTGGAAAGCCTGTTACCTTGCACTTTTTCCGGCTACTCTTCAGTTGCCCTTAAGGTTTTCTCGAGGTACTTCATTCATAGGTTTTCTGGGTATTAATTACAACCAGCCTCCAATTTTCCGCAGCGGAAGCAACAGCACACGGCTGAGACTCGATGATGCCAGGAAGAGTGAATAGAGTTCACAACTTTCCGTGTCTGGTGTAGCCAGATTCACGGCTTCAAGCTTTCGGGCTTACGGGGCGCTTACATATGGGTGGTTGTCAAAATTATGGTCCCTTGGGTCCGTAATATAATACGGCACCCAATATTTAGGGTACCCAAAAAGGGANNAATTTTGACAACTACCCATATGATCTCAGGATGACTCTTAGCTACTTGAGGCCAGGACACCTCAGGATGCGGCTTGTGCCCTAACTCAAAACGGTGTAGGGTATTTCGGTCTTACACTGTGTTCTGCTTCTGCAACTTGGGGGGGCTCTGAGCGTAATTTCAGAGCTCCTAACAGCCTTCGGCCCTCAACCCCATACTCCAATCCTCGAAGCTGCAGTCGGCTGCAGGGCACCTGTCCTGACTGCCGGGTCGAGCCTATGAATGGCTGGGGCAACATGCACTGCCCGAAGTGCGGCCACGCCGACGCCATGGTGCGGGCACCTTCGCTGCGAAGTGGTAGGTTTGGGGTTTGGGGGTATTGGTAGTGTCTCCACTCTTCAGGTTTACTGGTGAAACTTGGCGGTGCTTGCAGGAACTGTTGCAAATAAGATGCATAAGACCTCTATGCACTAGCTGGGTACGGCCCTTGTGCGTATGAAGCCATCACTGATTTCAGAAAGACTAAAGGGAATGCTGTGTTGGAGCCGTGACATGCTACTCTGAAGCAACGTGCGCGGCACTTCGACCCTTCTATCCTTAACATGTCACAAGATCTCCGCAACACCGAGCTTTATCACTACACTCAAGGACAGTTTGGGAAGTTGTGAGGGAAGCAATCTCACCCTGAAGCTGATAAAGGCGGTTTTCCTTGCATCCCCCCAGCAGGCATATGCAAGCATTGCTGATTTGGATGCACAAGCCTTTTTGTTGATCTCTTCTGCCATATTTCTTGGACGACAGTTGCAAACATGCAATTTACTAGTCCGTACGGTAATCCTGTCCTCGAGCGAGGCCAGGTGGTCTCCCGTGCCCGCTCTCACTCTCACTCTCACTCTCACTCTCACTCTCACTCTCACTCTCACTCTCACTCTCACTCTCACTCTCACTCTCACTCTCACTCTCACTCTCACTCTCCCTCTCACTC